TGATTTTCTTCCCATTGTTCCCAACAAGAGTCCTCAGAAAATCTGAGAACTTATCTTCACATACATAAAAATATGATAAACCTTGGTTGCCAAGAAAGTAACTAATACAATAAAATGCTTTGCCCATTAATAAAATTACACTATATGGTGAGAAACTATGTCTAAGGAATAATTAGTTGATTGACTTCATTGGATGTTGGGGCCAGGAAATAGCATGGTGGTTAAGGTGCTGGACTCCCACATGGCTGAACAAAGTTAGAGTCCTGCATCCAGCAGCATGAGAAAAATCATATGGGGCACATGTGTGGTCATTCCCAAAATCCTGAGAGGAGAATGGAGGAGAAGGGATTGCAGCATGGCCATCCTCCCAGGGGGTGATTTCTCACTTTCCCTCTCACTATCTCTTTCTGGTGAGCATATGCACCCTATGGCCAAAAAAAAAGGAAAAAAAAAGAAAAAATTCACACACATCAAAAATTAATTGAATGTTTGGCTCCTCCTTAAAAATACATTTTTCTAAGCAGGAGGAAACATGGAAACATATGATGATGCCCATTTTGTAACTTCACCATGTTCAACTGCCAATGATGGATACATTGAATTCAATCCTATGGGTGTTATATGGCCAACAACTATCTCAATAAAGGAGGAAAAAAAAAAAAGAAAGAAAGAAAAAAATCACTGGTATCAGGTACTATACTTTCCCAGTGAGAGATGGGAAATCTATTTTTGGTTTTTCAAAAGGAATATATTTGTCTTCATCCACAGATGATTTTGTGTTTTAGGATGAGATAATTTAAAGGTGAATATGATTAACATAGGCCAGCCCTTCTTTGTAATCAATGAGTGGGCCTAGTACAATTTATTCTGATGCTACATCACAATCCTGTGATTTCTATGTCCCGCCTTTCACACTTTTAGGGGCTGTCAGTGATTTTACATGCTTTGAGATGCTGCATATAAGCAATATGATGTGTGTTCACTCTCTTCCCAGATCTGGCTTACTTAGGCTTTTTAGATCACTGTAGCCAAAGTACGCAAAACACAATTTGCTTGATTTATGCTTTTCTGAAAAACAAAACAAAACAAAAACAAACTTCCATTTTCAACTATGCTAATTACATTTCAGTGCAATTAAGAAACTCATCCCTAGAAAGGAAAGTTACCTTTGATGACCAGTGAGGGAGAAGGGGGAGCTCCAGCTCTTCTTTGGCACTGCTGTCCATCACTAAGAGTCAGGAATGACTGGTGCACTTGGCTGATGCAAAAAATACCATCTGGTATAGATTTCCTTTCAGCTCATCAGGAGGAATTCAAGATCATGGGCAATAACCGAAAGGTGTTGTCTTTGGGGGTGGCATTTTACTTAGCTTTTTTTTTTCTAGTTCACTTCTGGAAACTGGGCTTTCTGAACTAGCATACATCTACTTATTCTACCTGTATTCACACTTCTGACAAATGCCCCTTAAGCTAAGAGTGCACACCCATAAATAATGTGTGGTTTGCATTTATTCTGCTCCAAAGTGCTGTAAACATCAAGGTCTACTTACCAGAGGTGTATGCCTGGTAACAGAGGGTCATTGAGAGCTAGGGCCAAATGAATTGAAGTAAGCAAAATGAATGGCATTGTTGGTCATAACTGAATGCTGGGTCTGAATTGAGGCCACTCAAAGTAGATCACATATGACTTTAATCCACTGCTCTGCCCAGCTTTCTCAAGGGATAAATCTGCCTCCAGTTTTTATTTACATATTATCATTTTACCATATGTCACTGTCATAGTTTCCGACTTGAATAAATCCACATTTAAATAGCGATTTGTCTCCTTTTGATAGTAAATATTCTCATAAGTAGTGGTTAGGATTAAAGGGAATTTGTGACAATAGGTAAAGGGGGCTATTTAGGATTAAATGAAATTATACACTCAGCCAGGAGAGCCTTCCTTGGGAAGCTCAGTCCAGCAGGTGCCGGGTGTCCCACAAATTCCCTCTTTGAAGGTACGGTGATAATTCTGTGAAAGGAGAAAAAGAAAAGGGGGAGGAGGGTGGAGAAGCAGCAGACACAACTGTTCTCAGCTCTCTAGACTAATGGGAGGGGGCAAATCCTGCCTGAAACAGCCCTCAAGACGCCATCCCTTACAGGTTAGCAAAGAGTTCTTTTGAGGTGACATTTAAACCTTTAATAGCCCCCAGCCAGTTTGAGCAGAAATAATTTTCCCTCACTGGAGGCCAGGAGCCAGGCACTGCTCAGTTACCTGTCTGCAGAGGATGTGAGGGTGTGGATGAAACCCAAGCAGGGTGATTTGGGCGTCGTGGGCGGAGCTGGCCAGTGTCTGTCGGGCCTTGCCCTCACCCTAATTGCACCAAAGGCCGAGAAAGCTTCAGGTTGCACATTAGGCCCGTGCTGAGATTAGCAATTATAATATCAGTTTCCCCCAAACAGGGCTGACAGAATGGCTGCGGGAGCAGAGGTGACAGAAAGTTTAGTAAGTCTTGGGGAAAGTTTGCTGGCTCCTGCTGTTTTCTGGCCCACGGATTTGGCCTTTCTACTACCCAGCACTGGCCACAAACAGTAGGACTCCTTTTCAATCACTATTAGCAACACTTCATTTCTGTCATATTTGACCCTTGGCAAACTGCAACTCAGCGAAGAACATTCTTTCCAGAAAGGAACCAGACATCATTCAGCTCGAGACGATTTACTGTGGGACATGGAACTTATTTGCTTTGGTTGTCTCCCTGGAGCTACTCAGCCTGTTAAAATGAATTGTTCTTGTGCACAGTGGTGCTAGTGGGAGGGTCCATCTTGAAAGGCAGAGAAAGAACCAACCCTGGACTAAGACACTTGTCATCTGGTCCTGTGACCCTGAGCTGGATCTCTGCAGTGCCCTACCTGTCCAAGCATAGGATTTTGTAGTTTTATTTTTTAAAAAACAAAGTGAAGCTTACACAGTCAAGAACAGTCACTTTCGGGAACCAGCAGTTAGCGTAATGGCTATGTCGCTGGACTCCCATGTAGTCAACCACGGTTCGTGTCCCGGACCCGGTGGCTTAAAACTCACGCTGGGCGTGTGTGCATGCGTGCCCAAGATCCTGAGAGGAGAATGGAAGAGAAGGGATTGCGGCGTGACCATCCCCCCTGGGGGGTGATTTCTCGCTTTCTGTCTCTATGTCTCTCTCTGTCTGTCTGGCGAGCGCACGCGCCCTACAGTGAAAATCTCTCCAAAAAAAAAAAAAAAAAGAGAACAGCCACTTTCTCTTTCAGGTCAGGGTCATAGCGGTGGCTTCATCCTGTCCTTGCTCATCCACCATTGTCTAAACAAAGGAAAAAGTAAAAATGAACTGAATGCTGGAAGCTTGAACACTACTTACATCAGCTACAGGCACACTTCCCAGCCTTTCTTTACATCCTGTTAATACATGATAAAGAAATCAAGATTTTTAGTTTATTATTTCTTCTACCACACAGTTACGTATCATTGGAAGTCCTGATAAGTGAGAAGAGAGGACTGTGACACATCTGAGTACCCTCCACAGAGATTCATATTAATCTTGTTTTGGGGGAGTGGATAAAGGAGGGTTATTGTTTAATGGAATGAAGTTTTGCTGACGATATTGAAAAAGTTTTGGGTATTAATAGTGGTTATAATTCTATACCATTGCGAATGTATTGAACACCACTGAATCATAGATTAATGAAAGACTGAAATAATAATTATGTGACATGCATTTATCACATTACGATTTTAATCTAATGTTAATTTTAATCATTAATATTGACCAGGAACACACGTGGCAGAGATAGGTGACTGATGCTTTCTTTCGGGGCCTCTTCTCGTAGGAAGCAGACTGCTGGTTGACCAATCATGATAAGAGATATTGAGGTAGGTGCAAAGGACTAGCCTAGCCCTACTTCAAATGGCACTGAAAACAGAGAGAAGATAGCCAGAGTTAGAGTGCACATAACTGGGTGGAACTTGGACAACCCACTGGGAACCTCAAACTAGGGGTGTGCAATATTCCGATGGTTTATAGGACTACAAATTAGAAATGAGAAGGGCCTGAGTAAAAATGATGGGAACTGTCTTCTCACCATGACCCACAGACATTTAAAGAGGCAGGAGATATGGATTTCCAGAAAACCACACATATTTTGGAGAAAATAGGGGTCATTCTCCAGAGGCTTTGATCCGTTAGTTGGCATTTCACAGAAGGCGGCCAGACCGTGTTGATTCAACAACAGCAGTGCAAGCTGGGACCAATTAATTCACACTGCTTCACATGGGAAAGGCAGCCAGGCCTGATATGTCCTTGGCTAGTCATAACAAAAAGTCATAGTGAAATGTTAAAATAGTGTATAAAAGTTATACAACTGACAAGTGATGTGATCTTTGATAAGCATCAAAACCCAATAAGGAAGCATTTGTGATTTTCCCTGATCAATCCTGGTGATCCTGTGTTTTAGGCACTCTTTAAAAATCCAGGACAGTGTAAAATTTGAAATCCAAGTCATGTACTTCCCCACATAAGAATTTAAGGCATTGGATTGTTTTCAGGCCTTAACATTTTTATCGATTCTAGAGTCAATTATTGTCTTGGTTTCTGGGTATGACTTAGACCTTCCTGGATGGTTGTTAGTTGGTTGAAATTCATTACATGGCACTATTAACATGGTTTCAAAGAGGTGGCTTTGGGCCTGCCAGTGGCATGTTGGTTACGGCAGCTGAATCCCATATGGCCAACTGTGTGGTTCAAGTCCTGGACTGAAGAGCTTCAGAAACACACTAGTCATGTGTGAATCCATGCCCAAAATCCCGAAAGGAGAGGAAAATGGACAAGAAATTACAGCATGACCACCCCCCATGGGAAGTGCTTTCTCACTTCCTCTGCCTTTCTACATTCTCAGTCACTGCCACTTTCAACTCTGAAAAACTATCCATAAAGAGCAGATGGGGAGGTAAACTGTAACAAAGTAAAGCAAAGAAAGACTACTTGCCTCCTCCTCATCCCCTCTGCAGGCTGCCAGCCTTAGAAGGTACAAATCAGGCTTGAGAGGCAACTTAGAGTTAAGTCAAGCTTGGAGTTCTGATTGGCTCTTCTAATTACTTTGTGACTTGATTTTGTGACTTAGTGACCTGAAGTAGCTCAAGGCATCTTTATTATCAGAGAGTGACCAGAATCATTGTAAGTGGCCCAAGTTTTCATCCTGAATAGAGAAAAATAAAATAAAATTTAATAAAACTGTCACTCCATATCGACATATCATTTATCCTATCTTTGGAAATACTGTTAAAAAAGATTTTTTTCCTAATGAAGATGCTATGTTCTAAGAGGGCAACTTGGGGTTTGACATATGAGGCAAAAGGAAGAGAGAGAAAGAAAAAAGAAAGAGAAAGAAAAAGAAAGAAAGAAAGGAAGAAAAAGAAAGAGAGAAAGAAGAAAAAGGAAGAAAAAGCAAAACAAAGAAAAGAAGAAAGAAAAAGACACAAGAATAAGAACTGAAACACTACCCACGCCCCAGAAGCCTTCTGAGAAAATGTATGAGGGAGACAGTATATTAACATTAGGATTCATATTTTAAGAAATGTGTGAAGTAATAAATGTCTAATTCTGTTATTAATAAATTTATGGATATCTACCTTAACTATATTTAAATTATTTTCAGATCATTTCTATTTTCTCTGAAGTGTCATCATTCCAGTCGAACATTGCCAAAATAGAAATAAATTGAATTATAGCAGTTCTACTCAGGCCAGTTAGGGCCCAACTGCTAAGTCAACCTGTCCAACTCAGGTGACAGTGAGCACTTAAAGATGATGTCTTACATGCATATCTACTCATTCTTCTCCTTTATATGTTCTGTAAGATAAGGAGCTATGCTTTATCCTTTAGCATTTAATAAACTGTTAAATAAGTGAATGATTAAATAAATAAAAGAATAAAACAGAGAGCCAATTATACATATAATTTTGATTTCTATCCTCTAACAAATATAATCTTAGATTCATCCAAAGTACTCAAATATCTGCCCCAGTCTGCTACCTGACTAGTAGAATACTGGCTATAAAAATCCTATTACTTGAAATTGGTATATTCACCAATTGTGAATTTTGTTATAGTACTCAGTCTTCATCAGTGCCATTAAAATAAATACAAGCCATAGAGCCAATATGAAATGAAATGTAGGTAAATCAAGAAGAAATACTTTAGCTAATTATTTTACTAAAAAAAAAATGTTACTTGGTTGTAAGGAATATAGCTAAACATTTGTTAGTTTATAATTTATGCTTATACCTTAGAACTGGGTAATAGTATATTTTAAAATAATAACATTTGCGAACGATCACGTCCTCTCCCTAGCCCCAAGAAACAAATAGGAGGCTAGTTTCTCTGTTCTTTGGGCTCACGAGGCACCAGCAGTCCTGGGAGCCAATGAACTAGCTGCCACCATCTAATGCAGGTATCGCAGGTCTAGGGGATAATTCTATATTTTCAGAGGAGCAGTGATGTTTGTAGTCTGTTGTGCTTTCCCTGGTTAGGTCTTCCTTATGTCAGTAACTCAGCACCTGTACTTCCAGAGTGTACTTTTCCAGGAACAAAATATTGAAGTGAAGAATGAAAACCTGCCAAATGTAATTGCTGAAGAATCACTTAGTCTCAGATAACTGCTTTTCTCTATTAATCCTTCTCAGTTGTACCAATCTGGTTTTGTCAAAAACAACATTGGCCAGAAACTATAGAAAACCATTTAGGTCTCCATTAGCAACGCTTTCTTTCTACCAGGCTTGACCACAGCAGGGTACAACCCCACTCTCAGCATTCCTTTGAGAAAACAACCCAACACTGGACTACCACAGATTTATGGTGTGAAAAATGGCATTTTCAAGGACCTTTGAAAATGTTAAAAATGAATGTAGCCTTACTGTTATTTTCCAC